GACTTCCCTGTTAGAGCTGAGCATAGGGGAGTAGACAGAGTACAGGCCAGGTGAATAAAGGTGATATTTTACACAGCTAAAAGATTACTCTATATGAAACACAAATACCAAAATGGCATGCAATATGAATACTAAAACATGCTGACCACTTAGAGAAACTGACAAAGAACTTACCAGGTGCCATCTATAGAGGTCCCTCAACAGCCACACCATCTCAGAAGTCCACAAGATACACTGCATGCCTGGGGATCTGCTTGTTCCAGAGGAACGAGTAACCTTACATCTACTGGCTGCCTTCTATGTGCATGGTCAAAACTCTAAACCCAGTGTATTACTTGTTAGAAGAGTAAGTAATATGAGCCACCCAACTCCCTAGAGTGAAAACAAATCTGGTGAATGAGCGCTATGACAGTGAAAGGGATGGTGGTGTTATGTGGAAGACTATAATCTTCACTTATGGATAAGGAACAATTCCTAAATATTTTACTATTGCCTTAAAAAAAAAACAACAAAACCTAAACACCAGGAAATTCATAGTTGAAATAAAAGTGTGGACAAGAATGGTTTCCAAAGAATACTCTGAATACAGTAAGAACCTATGCACTTGACTCAGGAAAGTTACAATGTTACCATTTGGGGGTGGGGGTGACTAGTATGAAATACTAAGAAAGTTGGCTTGCACTTAGGAATGTTAAGGTACACAAGACAGTGTTTTGCTTTTTTCTTTTTTGCTAAATCAAATCTGCAATACTAAAGTGACTTCCTAATCAGTTTGACCACCCCCATGAATAGATTTTAAGAATAGACCAGACTTCAGTTCTAAGAATTCTGTTTTTCTCCAGCTGAATCTGTTGTTTTGATCACTACTGTATCTCCTTAAGTAACCAAGTAACCTATTTTAAAGCCTTATCTATTTATAATACTACAGAATAACCTCTAAATCATTTTAATCAAACAGTCAGTTTGTAATTAGCAGCTTTCCTCAAAACACCCAAAACACTAAGTCTCTAAAGTGTGAATAGATGGTACTGTCATAACAACCAGCTAGGAAGTTTAGCTAAGAGAATTTGTTAAACACAATGCAGTCACCTCCAGCTTTGGGTCAAGGCTGATTGGTAGTGGGTGGCTGGTGGCTTAAGACTTTGCAATCTCATTTATTAGGATACTGAGAGGAAAGCATGTATTTTTCAGGTACTGTGGGTATAAGTTCTCCTAGCTATACCCCCAGTCCAAGAGGTTCTTCTTTATCAACAGAACTGTTTCACAAGAAGCAAGTCAGTGTGAGAGCGAAAATGAAAAGCCATACCTGGGTCCATTCATTTGTCTGGGGATCATAAGCTTCCACGGTGCTAAGGTAAGTCTGCCCGTCATACCCCCCAACGGCATACAGCTTGTCACCAAGTAAACAGACCCCCACCGCGTCTCTGCTGATGCTCATGGAGGCCACTGCAGTCCACATGTCTGTTTTGGGATCATATCTGAAAGAGAAATAGAGCCACTGTTCTCAAAATACTTTATGTGAAAACAGTTTTGTTCAATTTATTTTCTTCTGTCTTATTATATGCTATGTAAATAAGATATATTTGAACACATTTTAGAGAAAAAAATTAGTATTTTCCTAAGTTTTAACTTAGAGCACTATAGATTCATTTAGCAGATATATAACACTTAAAAGGAGATGATATAAATACAATACTGAAAACTGCCTTAAAGCTTCAGTGTGCCTGTTGAAAATGTGTGCAAATCAATATGTTAAACTCTATCCAGATGACTTATGCCCTCAATCATTGTAGCCGTTCATGTGGTACCTTAATTAGAACTGCCCAAAGATGTCTACGAGCAGACACTTCATGAAAAGATGACCTTCTGACATTCCATACTAATAAAAGGGGAAATAGGCCAAAAGGAAATAATAATCATCAATCTGTATGCACCCAATTTCATCAAACATACCCTGAAAGACCTAAAAGCATATATAAACGCCAACACACTGGTTGTGGGAGACTTTAAAACCCCATTATCATCAATAGATAGGTCATCCAAACAAAAAATCAATAAAGAAATCCAAGATCTAAAATATGCAATAG